TGAGGAGAGTTTCGGGAAGGGACTATTTACAGAGCTATGGGCAGCATCAAAGGAACCTACAGGGGCTGGCATCGCACAGGAATCCAACCTGAAGGTACAAGGGGAGGGGCAGGCGTTACCAGAGCCCAGCAGAGTTAAAACATGACCAGGGTTCTTTGACAGGAGTTGGGGCCAAACTACAGCACAGCAGGGAGGGAGCAGGGAGAGAAATACTCTGCCCACTCTCTCCTGCAGTGGCCTCCTCTCGGCCAAACCCAGCCAGAGCAGAGAGCAAGGAAGCCTGTGGGTGCAGCCTATAGGAGCAGCTTCCCAGGGCACAGAGTGGATCTTGGGAGCAAATGGAGAATAACCAGCACACACACGTGATTTTGGAAGATGAGGATTATGCCCCCATTTTACAGCTGGACAAACTGAGGCCCGAAGGCATAAGGAGAGAACTTGCTCAAGGCTACACAGAGAAGCCCTGTCCCAGTAGGCCCTTCCCTAGGACAGAGACTGGGCACCCTGTGCGCCATTCTTGGGAATAATCGGGAGCTCAGATAGAGGTAGGAAGGCCCTTTGAGATTCCCTGACTTCTCCCCCTCAGGCTATAGGCACTGAGCAGAGGTCCAGAGACTGAGAGTTCATCGCTAAGGGTCTCCCGGCAGTTAGCAGCACACAGGGTTGGACTCAGGTCTCCCAGATCCCAGGCCTGTGAAACCTCTCCTTGCTTGCCGCCAGGGGCCATGCCACCAGAGCTTACTTCTCTCTGCGAGGCTTGGCAGGCGGGCCCTTGCAGCTGGACACAAGGGTGGACTTGTTCCATCAGATGGGGTTCCCCTAGGTCTGGCTGCCGGAGGCCAGGACCCTTGGGGAAAGCCCAGAGTGGGGGTTTGCTTGTTTCCATGGCTCTGTTTGCATGAGCCCTGAGCCCGGGCCTCGTCCACCTCCCGCAGACAGGCCAGCGGCCCCCGCTCCCCTCCCCCCAGCTCCGGGCCCTCTCAGAGGCCCCGTTGTTTGCATCGTGGAGTGGAAAATCCCACCCCGGCCCTGTGAATCATCCCAGAGTCACCCGCTCAGGCTTCAGCCCTGGAAAGAAATGGCAGCGTTTTTCCACTGCACGGAGAACAGGCAGGGTCTCGGATCCGGAGAGAGGGGCGCCCCCCTCACTCACCCACTAACAAAGTGATCGCTGAGTGGGGGAGGGCCAGGCCTGTGGCTGTAGCTGGGCTCGGGGTGGCCCGGCCCAGGTGGGTAGAGCAGGGCCGGCCGGGCCTGCCGCTGGGGGCTGGGCTGCCATGTCAAGGAGTCAGGCTGTGGTCTGACATCACCAGGCCGGGCCGTGGGTCCCAGCTGGCACTTAGAGTCTGCTGTGCAGATGTTGTGAATGAGGTCAGGTCCCAGCTTGGATGCCCCCGTTTCTGGGGCAGAATAAACGCCAAGAGGGAGTGTCCAGGCCCTCGGCAGTGGCGGCCCTCCAGGGTCATGAGGGAACTCCACCCACAGATTGTCCCGTCCTGGGGCCCTGCACCAGCCCTTCACCCCTCCGGGCCTTGCCTTCTTCTCTGGGAGACGGGCATGGTCTCACTTTTCCTCTTCTGCTAGATAACCTAGAGGAGGAAATCACCACCACCCTGCAATTCAGGAAGTGCCGGCGTTGGGAAGCCTGCGGAATGTTCATTTGACACATGCCCACGGAAGGGAGGGGAATTATCCACGTTTGCACAGCCAGTCAGAACACCTGGCCAAGGTTTTCTGCGTGGAAGTTGCGCAGGGGAGGAGAACACGTCAAGTGGTTTGGGGTTGAATCCAGGTTCTGCCTGTTAGCTGTGCAGCCTTGGGCAAGTGGCTTTGCCTCTCTGAGCCTCTCTTTGATCTCTCATCTGTTAAAGGGGCTCGGTGATGACAACAACACCTACAGTAATGCTTAGCCTTAGCCCCTGCATTTCCCTTTAACTCCGGGTCGCGTGAAAGAATAGGGCCAAGGAGGGCCTTCTAGGAAAGGAAATCTTTTGCTCTTCCTGAAAAACAGATGTCGAGGAGGGTGGCTTAAAATTTCACACTGGGGAGGTTCCAGCAGCTTGCTTTGCAGAAACAACAGCTAACTTTTGGGGCGTTCACTGTGTGCCAGGCACCGGGATTAGCACTTTTTATAGATTATCTGTCAGCTAGATGCTGTTATATCTTATTTTGTAGTTAAGGAATGAAGCTTTGGAGACTGGAAGTGGCTTGCCCCGAGCCACAGAGCTAGTCAGTGCGGGTGCTCAGTGTGAACCCAGGGCCCCAGTCTTACACTGGGGAGCAGCAGGGGGTAGGCTGGCCCTGGATCGCAAACCTACAGAACTGGACCTAGGACTGGAGACCGTCCCTTCAACCCCCGGGCTCTGCATGGGAGACTGTCGCCAGCTTGGAGGCTCAGAGACGGCTGGAACTTGCCCGAGATCACACACGAGTCCCCCTCTCTCCACCCTGGGGGGACTCTTGTGTGACCTCCGGCAAGTGCTAGCTCTTTTCAGTGACCCCGGGGCCCTGGGGCCCACGTCCGCCCGTCTGGATCTCTCTTCTGATTTTCATTCATGGATGAGCAAGCACGTGGTGTTCACAGGCCAGCACTGTGAACTGAGGCTGCCCAGCGTGAGGTCTGGATTAATTACCAGCCAAACCGGACTGGGTTTTCAACACTGATTTTAACTCCGGGCAGGAAACCTGGAATCTCTGCTGTTGATGGTTATTTGAAACAAATGAATTCCCCAGGCCTCACACATCCTCGAAAGCCTGGCTTCCTCCGAAGGCTCCGTGTTCAGCTCTTGAGAGCAGGCACTTGGTTGATCCTCACTCGCTCCTTCGGGGCAGACGGGACAGTCGCTATTGAGCGCTTTGAAAAGGGGAGCAGCGGAGAGCAGACAGGCTGCAGGGCTTGCACAAAGTCTCCAGTATCAAGTGGCAACACCAGGATTTACACAAAGGCCAGCACGTGGTGTAGTAAGTCTGCCCGGCTGTCCCCCTTCCTGTGTGAAGGAAAGAGGGGTGAGGCCACACAGGTGCTCCCTGAGTACCCTATGGCAGGGTTAGGCCATTCTCCTAAAGGAAATGGGGAGCTATTAAGTGTTGTTGAGCAGGGGAGTCCCGTGGGAAGGTGAACCCAGGCTGTGTGGAGGACTGGAGAGGCGGGAAGGGAGAGGCAGGGAGAAGGCAGAGGCAGAAGGGGCTGTGATGAAGGCTGGGCCAGGCTGTGGCCACTGAAATAGATGAGACATTTGAATGACGATGGCTTACAATAATACCCTACTCACACATTTACTGCCTCGCATTTCATCCTCAAGATAATACTGTGAGGAGGGTATTCTTGTCCCCATTTTATAGGCATAGGCTGGTTAAGGAACTTGCCCAAACCTAGCTGGTAAGTGGCAGCACTGGAATGTGAAACCAGGCCTGTCTGATGTGTCTGCCCTTTATGCTCCACTGCATCTCCGTGGTGTGAAGATGCTTGGTGTGACCTTGGGCAAGTCCCTTCTCTGCTCTGCCTCTGCAGACAACTTGGCTGAGCTCAGAGGTCTATTGCTGTATTTTATCAAACATTTGGCTGAGCCCTGGGCAGAGAGAGATGACTCATATCCCATTAGTTCCTTTGAGGAGACTCGGGTCTTGTGGGAGAAACAGGCTTCTAAGCAGACAATTCCTTGAATAGTATAGTGGCCTTTAAAATAGAGGGAAAGAGGGAACCGTGGCCCAGATTGGAGGAGGGGTCAGGGGAGGTTTCCTGGAGAAGGTGGCAGCCTAACTAAGTTAGCGGAGTAATAAAAGCTGAGAGTGTAAAAGGCTGAGAAATCAGAGCGGCAAAGGCCCGGAAGCTCCGAAGAGCAAGAGTTCCTCAGGCAGGGCCCCCAGGGAACCACGCTCCTTAGCCGTGGGCAGAGTTCTGGGGCAGGTTTGTCGAATGAATGCTTGCACCCATTCTCTCATCATGCCACTGGTCACTGATGCTATTGCTTTCTCTTCAGGGCCCCCCTGGGCTGCCTGGGCTCCCTGGACCCCCCGGTGCACGGGGACCTCGGGTAAGTGATTGCACACCATCCTGTGGAGCCCTGGTCGGCTCTCTGGCCTGCATGCCCTGAAGTCCAAGCTCTGCTGTGTATCCTCAGGCTACTCCCTGCCCTTCCCTGGCACTCACTTTCCACTTTGTCCAGTGGAATGGACCTAGGGCTCTTAGGGGCACTATGTGGACAGACATGGCATGGGACAGGGTCTCCGGTCTATTGTAGGTATGACTCTTGCAGCCTGGGGTGGAGAAGGGGTTTCCCCTGAGCCGATGGGCTTTGGTGTTTGTCCAGGAAGAAAGCTGACCTGGGAGGACACGGCCCTTACACCCATCTTCCTATATCTACAGGACCATCCTGTGGGGGGGATGCTGACATAGGCAGCTAGATGGGCCATGCCAGGGAGTAGGTGAGCTCCAGTGCTGAGAGGTTCACCGGAGGCTGGAGGGTGGCTTGGCAGGGCCGAGGTGGCTGATGTGAGCTAGCCCAAGCCTCTGAATGAAAAATAGCTCCTATGTGCCTGGCACATCACTTCATGCTGCCTTATCTGATCCCTTCTTCCCCAGGACCCCCGTGGGTCAGTAGGGTCACTCTCCTTTTAGGAATGAAGAAGCCAAGCATCTAATGAATGGCAGAGCCGGGACTAGAACCCAGGCTCTTAACCCTATGCTGGGCCCTCCCTCTTGGAGGGGAATCTGCCCCCTTCCCAAGAGGACTCAGACCCATGGCGCCTGGCATCTGTGCCCAGGCTGAATCAACCTTTCCCACGCTGGGTGCCTGGCGAAGCCCAGGCAGAGGTAGCTGCCTGGGGCATATTTTTAGCTCTGAGCCCAGCGGATGGTTCTGGTTATGCAATTACTCGAGCCCTAGTTCCATCTAGACCTGGCCCTGTGCTCCCGGGCCCAGGGCTCTGGAATCTGCTGTCAGCAGCAGCCTTTCTTCCTGGATTTGGAGTCTCCATGGAGCACATGCCCAGAGCTTAGGACCACAGGGGTGTCATGGATACTGCTGGCCTTGACCTTGCAGCCTGGGTCCAGGATGAGGCCTGCTGACCTAGCATTCCAGGCCCAGGCAGCCTGCCCCTGCCCCGTACTCCTCCTGAGCCCTCCGGCCTCTGAGCTATTGCTCAGGCTGTGCTCTCCGCCGGACACACCCTCTTCTGCAAACGCCTCCTCCATCCATGGCTCAGATCGCACGCCAGCTCCTTTGCTGCTGACCACCCCTCTGGGAGCTCCGGCCAGCTCCTTTGCTGATGACCACCCCTCTGGGAGCTCCGGCCAGCTCCTTTGCTGATGACCACCCCTCTGGGAGCTCCGGCCAGCTCCTTTGCTGACGACCACCCCTCTGGGAGCTCCGGCGGCACTTTATTGGGCCCTCTGGATGGCACGGATCACTTTCCAAACCCACATCGACCGCTGATCTCCCTTGACTGAGCTGCATACGCGTGATCTCATTGCATCTTCCCAGCCACCCTGAGAAATAGGTTCCAATATTATCCACATTTTAGAGGTAAAGAAACTGAGGCTCAGAAAGGTCTGGTGACTTTGGATAAAGTCAAACATCAGGTAAATCCAGAACCGGGATTTAACCTGTATGGTCTGAGTCCAGAGCCTGTGGTTTTAACCATCCAGGTGCTAATTTTCTATCTATTCGGCTGAGCCCCTCTGGGCCAGAGACAGCCTGCTGACCCTCTTTTCCTTCCACGACCCCTCGCACAGTGCCCTGCGTGCAGCAGGTGCTGGGAAATGGTTGCTGATGAGTTCTAGTCTGGGAGTCGAGAACATTTCCACGAAGAAGTTGTGTGATCTGAGCCAAGTGCTTTCCCTTCTCTGGGCCTTAGTTGTCCCATCTATAAAACATGGGATCGTAGTGAGGCATTCCTAAGGCTCCTCCCAGCTCTGAAATTCCACAAGTGAGTGAATGACTCTCCTGACATCCTTCTGTCTCTCATATGCCCCAGCACCCCCCCAACCCCCCCAACACACCCCTCATCGTTCTGTTTCTAGACTACAAATTCCATAGATCATAAAATTCCAAAGATGATAGAATGCTGGGATTAAACAATCCCAGCTCCTCGGCACAGATGGTGGCTCTGGGGTTTAGGGGAGGGTGGGGCCTCATCTGAGGTCAGTGGCATGCCCCTTCCCACCTTCACATAGTCCCGCAGCCCATCCGCCCATCCACCATCCGCCCATCCAGGGAGGGACGTTGGGGAATCCCTGGGCCCTGCCCCCACCCGCCTTTCTGGGCTGCAGCATTTATAGAATCGGTCTGCTTGGCTCCCACTCAAGTATGTGCTTCGTTTCTAAGCAAGGCCGTGGCTGGAGAGGGGTGGGGAGGTGGGGGCAGGGAAGCAGGAAGCCCCCACCTTCACGAGCTGCTGAGCGGGGGTAGCTGAGTGCTCCAACCCACCATCTTTGGAGCAGCTAGGGGCACAACTGGGGAGAAGTAGCCACCCTTGACCTCGCATGGCTCACGCCTGGTTCTGGGGTGCTGGTCAGGGGCCCCTCCTAAAACATTCCCCCCATCCAACTGTTGCCCAGTTCAGGCTGAGCTCGGAGGTTAGACCCCAGGAGCCTGGGCTGGGATGAACATCGGAGTCTTCCAGATTCCTTAGAGACCGCTGGGTCCCAGTCATTGATGGAACAGACAGGAGCCTGAGGCTGGGGGCAGGGAGGCTCAGAGTGGTCCTAGCCGGTGCCAGCAGACAGTATTAGGTAGGATGTTGGGAGGGACTGATTGTTCTAGAGGGAGGCTCACCCCTGACACTGATTAGCCCCCCAGGCTTAGTGAGCTTCTAAACACCGTTCTTTCTAGATGTTTTCAGAGACGGGGAGAGTTCCAGTTCAGACATCGAGGAAGAGGGAGGTGCCTCGGTTGGAATGTGACAGGCTGCAGCTGGGAAGTTGGCCTCGGACAGGGAGGAAGGCAGCGAGTTCATACACAGCCAGCCAGATGGGTCAAGAGGGGGCAGGGACAGGGCAGTGTGTCTGGAGGCTGGTGCGGTGGGGGGCACGGTGGGGCCTCTTGAGGTGCCTCTCCCCACCCCCATCGTCCCAGAGTATGCCTCCCGGACAAAGACTCTCAGGAATTACCTGACTCCTGGGGCCCTGTTTTTATCACTGGGCTGCAAGGCTGTAGTCCAGGCCCTTGCTGGAGAAAGTGGACGTAACTGGACCCAGCTGCTGTAGCGGATTTGGATATGGCCTGGGAAAATCCAGTGCCATGAATAAGCCCTGGACTTGAGGCCAACGGGCCTGGTTCCGGCCCTCACTTGGCCATGACTCTACTGTGTGACATTGGCCAAGACTCTTTGACTCTCTGGGCTCAGGCTTCCCAGCTGTTCCGTGGACCCTGGAGGGGGGCGCTGTAAGCTCGGAGCCTGTAGGAATCCAAGGGGGAGTGCTGACTATGTGGCTACAGGGGGGCTGTGCCTTTGGTCCAAAGAGGCTCAGGATGCCCTTCATTGAACCCTCAACTCCAAGGGCTCATACAACAGTCCAGCTGGAGGCTGAAGGGTGGACGTGTCCTTTAGGCAGGAGGAGTCCCCAAAGGCTCCCGGGAGGAGGTGACCTTTGAGCCAGGTCTTGAAGGATGGGTTGGGTTCCAGCTGGAGGGGTTGGATGGCATAGGCATGCCAGATGATGGGAACAACATGGCAGAGGTGGTGAGGGGAGAAAGTACCGGGCCCAGAGCAGGGAAGCAAACAGCTGAGTGTGCTTGGAGCTCGAGGAAGCCAGCTGGGAAGGGCTGCGGCAGCCAGCTGGAGAGAAAAAGGGGGTAAAATTCAGCTGTTAAGGGCTTGTCCTCTGAAGTCACATCTGAGGTTGAGATCTAGCTCTTGTCCCTGAGCAGCTGGGTGACCTGAGAAAGTGATAAACCTCTGAACACCAGCTTCCTCGTCTCCAAAATAGGAATAATGATAGCCCCGATCTCGTGGGTTAGTGGGTAAAATGGGATCATGAGTGGAAAGTGCTTAGCACAGGGCCAGGCATCCAGGCGACTCGTCGCAATGCTGCGCAGACTTGGTGGAGAGAGAAGACGTAGGGGCCCCTCTCAAACATTCTCCCTGCCCAGCCTCTGCCCAGTTCAGGCTGAGCCCTGAGGTGAGACCCCAGGAGCAATGCTGCTCCAAAGTGGTGAGGGGAGAAGGCACTGCTGTAGGAAGTGGAAGGGCCCCGGCTCCCCTCACCTCTGTGTTTACTTCTTTTTCAGGGTCCTCCTGGGCCTCACGGAAATCCAGGCCTCCCCGGCCCTCCTGGAGCCAAAGTGAGTATTTGCTGTGGGATCTGGAGATCGGGCCATGGAGTGGGTGCTGAAATGAGGGCCACATTGGAGCGTTTCCCAGGGGCTCCTGGTGGGAGGTCCTCAGGTCCACCGGCCCCAGGCACTCCCTGAGCGCCAGGCCTTGTGCCAGGCTGGGGACACAGTGAGGAGTGAGGAGTTTAGCCTCCGGGTGGGAGGGACTTCGGAGGGAAGGACCCCTGGAACCCAGAGCCCTCAAAGGGCGTAGGAGGAAAGATCATTTGATGCTAAAGAGGGAGGGCCTGGAGTGTCTGACCAGGGGACTCAGGTCTGCTTTTGAGCTGGGGAGGGGTGTGGGAAGATCGTGTGTGAGGAAGATCACTGGATGACACGTGGAAGAGGGACTGGGATGGGGACCAGAGCAGAGGCAGAGAGACCTGGTGGTCCAGGGGAGAGAGGAGGCTAGCCTGGGCCAGCTTGGGGCTGTGGGAGGAGGGGGAGTGGGTGTATTCACAATGCGGAAATAGGGTAGGGAGGACTTGGATGAGAGGTGAGAGGTCGTGGCTCCCCGATGTTAGAGACGGAACCTGGGAACCAGGGAGAAGGACTAAGATGATGTTGTGTTAGGAACCTGTAGTCCAGCCAGGTGGAGACGATTCATGGACAAAAAACACTCTAAGACTCAGGAAAGTTCTGAGCTGGCGATGGGACCTTGGGAGATGGCTGGCACACAGATGCCACCTTCCCCAGGGAGCTGCTGGAAATGGCCCAGTTAACTTCTAGATGAGCCCACAGAGACCAGAGTGACTGGTGCTCCGAGGGCTGTGGGGAATTCCAGCCTGGAGAGCCTGGGTCCATTCCTGGGGCGTGGTGGGAGAACAGGGTTGTCAGGGCGGTGGGTGGAGGGAGAAGCGAGGGCGCCAAGAGGAGTGCCAGACCAGGGAAATTTAGGTCACAGGGAGAAGTGTGGAGGAATGGCCGGGGAAATGGGAGGAGGGGGAGGAAGATGCAAGGCCAGGGAAGCCCAGAGCTCAGCGACCAGGCTGAAGCAGCTCAGGGCAGGCTGGGAAGGGCAGAGGGACTCCTGGTTAGGACGCCGCTCAGCCCAGACTGTCATCGAAGGGGCGGCCAGGTGAAGAATCTCTCTGGGCTTTGGTTGGCCCAGGCGCAAGGTTGTTCTTTGTTAACCCTACTGTCAAGGTTGAGTGGCTGAAGTCAGCCATTAACTGATTAACCCAGGTTGGGCAGTGAGTGACAGCTGGCCGCCTCTGGAGGCCAGTCCTGGCTCCTGGAGCAGAACTCCTCTGGCTCCCAGCTTGTCGGGGAGTTTGGGGCAAAGGTCATACACAGGTAGACCTGGATACATGAACATATGGCACCAGAATGCTGGTGCAGGAGCACCAGCCTCAGCCCCTGTGGGTCCATGACTATGGCCAGGGCTGGGCTGGGTCCTTCCTTGGAAGGTGTGCATGGGAGCATCAGATGCCCAGCGCCTAGCAGCTGCCCAGAGGGGCTCTGGGGTTTAACAAGGCAAATACTGATGATAATATCTACCATATATTGGACCCTTACTGTGCACTGGACACTATGCACACTCTTTATGTAGCTTATCTCAATTGATCCCCACAAAGATCTGTGAGGTGGGTGGAGATACTGTACCCATTTACGGATGGGGAAACTGAGGCTCCAGCAGGTGAAGACACTGTCCCCTGGGAGGACCTACTTCTCCGCTCCAGAGGGGACCTCCTTGGGAGACTTCTGCTTTGTAGCAGCCTCAGGTCTCCCAGGTCATGGGGTACACCAGGATGCTGAGATCAGCAGCTGTTTTGAATGGCCAGGTTTGCTCAGGAATGTATCTGTCTGGTCTGGGAGGTGAGACAGGTCTTCCCAGAGGATGGGGAAGTTGAACTGAGGTCTGAAGTGCTGCAGGTAACTAGGCAAAGGGGCAGGAGAAGGCTGCGGAGGGCAGCAGGCCTGTAGGTGGTGGTAAGACTTTTGGACTTTATCCAAAGAGCAGCAGGAAGCCATGCAAAGATTTGCAGCAGAGGTGACACGATCAGATGAGGTTTGCAAAGGCTACTCAGGCAGCTCGGGAAGCAGGGCCTGGCTAATGGTTTGTAGAAATTATGTTTATATATTAAGATTATTAAGAGTTCATCTACCTTATAAATATTTTCTAATTTACTGTTTGCCTGCTTAAGAGTATTCATGATGATTTTCACAAATCAAAGTGATTATATATATATAACTAACAATAATCGCTAACACTGATTAGGAACTTAAAACATGTCAGTTTGGAGAGGGCTCCACCATATGTGAAATGTATGGTTATTTACTTTTATTCTTACACATTTCTTTCCCATCCTAAGATCAGATAGGTATTCACTTATATTTCTAGTCATTTCATAATATCATTTGTACTAAAAAAGTTTAAACCATCTGGAATTGATTTTCAATAAGGGGACAATATGAGGTTGGGCTCTAACTTTATTTTCCCTCCAATAGTTAACCGTTTATTAAATAAACTTTTCTCCACTCATTACTGTATGATAGATCAGAGTCTGTTTCAGTCCACTGAAGTATGTTTCATTGCTATTTATATTTTTTATGTTAGTAAAGTGCCATTTTATATTATGACATTTACTATCTTTATACTGTGTGTCTTCCCGCCCCTGTTCTTTTAAAATATTTCTGGCTATTTATTCTGTCAGATGTACTTTAGTATGCTCCTCTTAATAATTTCCTTATAAAACCCTCTTGGGGTTTTATTGGAATTGTATTAAATGTGCATATTAATTTATGAAGAATCAACATCTTTAAAATATTAAGTCTTCCCATTTAGTTGAGTTTTTTTAAATGTCTCTTAGTAACTTTTATTGTTTTTATTGCATAAGCCCTGCACAATTCTTATTAAGTTTATAGTTGGGAATTTTATATTTTGTTGTTGTTATGAATGGAATATCTTCCTCATTATATTTTCTAGCTTGGCTCTCAGCTATTGAAGAGAACTGTTGACTTTTGTATTTTGCACTTTTTGTGTTTATTTTATAAACATGCTCTTTACTGAATTATCTTATTAATTCTAACAGTATTTCAGTTAGTTCTCCTAGATTTTCCTAGATTTTTTTTTTTTTTGCAAAGAAGGAAATATTTTTGTCTCCTTTTCCTCAAAGGTTAGTAGTCTTATTTGTTTTTCCTGCCTTATTGCATTGGTCAGAACTCTAAACACACAAAATAGTAGTAGTGATAGCGGAAAGTCCAGTGAATCTTCAGAGAAGGTTCCAGGCCTGGGGCTAGATCAGATCTCTTCACCTCCCACCCTACCCACAGGACAGGGGCTCAACACAGTTCCCATTCCTACTGTGTTTGTATTTAGGATTCGCCTTCCCATCCACCTTCTAGTTGTTCAAGGCTCTGTTCACGAGCCCAGGCAGTTCCCTACACAGAGAAGAAAAGCAGTTTGTCCAAGGTTACACAGGCTCTTGGACTGGAGAGCTGGGTTGGTGACCAGGTTCTTGTCCTCACCAGGATGTAAACAATGAATTAAAGTTTACATCTTCCTTATGTCTCTTACTGGGGAGTTGGCAGGAGTATGGCTGGGAAGATGTCTAGCCTTTTCCATCGTGGAAGTCACACCTTCCCCTGACCAAGGTGCCTGGAGCATCTCTTGAGCTTTAACTTCATTGGCTCCCTCCTCGTCTTCCTCCAGCCTTAGCTTAGCTGTAATTCCTGTTAGGAATTTAGCCCTCAGTCCTCAACTTCCTCCTGGACTCCACGTGTTATCTGCAGAGTATTGAAATGTTCAGAGCTTGAGCTCTGAAACCAGGCTGCCTGCATCTAAGTCCCACTTACTAGCTGTGTGACCTTAGACAAGTCACTTATCTTCTCTGTGCCTTAGTCTCCTCCTGTGTGACATCGGCAGAGGGGTAGTTGCTACCACATAGATTTATGTGTGGAGAGCTTAGGCGTGTATTCGGTAGATGCTAAGCTTATTATTACCATTACCCGTCTCTCTGGCTTCTCCCTCAAGAGCGTCCCAGGGGCGATCCCTGTGTCTCGTTCCCCACTGTGGTATTCCCTGCAGTCATTGCCGGACTGGCTCACAGTAGATGGTCCATAAGGATCTGTACCTGTGGATGTTGTCCTCAGGCGGGGATTACATCCCAAGCACTGTGCTGCTGCTGACAACCCACAGAGAATCCCATAAGTAACTAAAATGCCCCAGGAAGAGCCCCTGGCAAGGGAGCAAGGGCGTCATCTCTTTGGGCCTCAGTTTCCCCTTTTATAAAATGACAGAATAGGATACATGGAGGCCCACTCCGAAAGCTTTGTAAGCCCAGCTCCTTTACCAGCTGTAGACTGAGGTGGGCAAGGGCAGGTGGGGAGAGTAACTGTCCTTTTTTGGCCACTGGAAACCCAGGGAGCCCTGGGCCTGGCCTTGCATCATGGACATAAAAGGTAGTGGAGTCGGGCTTGTGAGCAGCAGAGGGCGGGAGTGTCAGTGAGGGGCAGCCGCAGTGTGAGATCCCCGAGGGCAGGTTCTGCAGAAGGGACTGGAGGGGCCCAGGGGAACAGAGGGTTGGGGTCCTAGCAGGGAGGGGCTGCCCTTCAGCCTGGGGCAGCTGGAGGGTGTGGGAGAAGTACCCAGGCTTCCCATTTATAAACAAGAGCTGAAAACTCAGACAGACGGGGATGAGTCAGACCTAGTAAGACCTGGCCTCTCACCTGCGTGTCACCCCAGGCTGTGACGCAGCCTCTCTGACCCTGGTTCTGCTTCTGAGTTGCATCACGGGAGCGGGGGGGGGGGGGGGGGGGGGTGTGTGGCGTGTTAAGAGGACTAATGGAGCCTGGCACAGTGTTGGGCACGGAGTGGGTGGGCAGTAGAAGGCTGCTCCCTTCCCTCTGTAGAGCCCTATCCAGTTTGGAATGCAATGATTTCTTGAGAAGAGCGATTGAGTCAGAATTTGGAAGGTCTGGGTTCTGACAAAGAGAAGAACCAAATGGGAATTAATTGAACTTGGCCAAACCACCCCTCCCATGTGTCACATTCATTATCTCACTGGCTCCTTGCCAAGAAACCTGGAAAGCTGGCAGGTGTATGTGCGTGTGTAAAAGTGTGTGTATGTGCATGCACCCATGTGCACATGTGAGCGTGTGTACAAGTGCCAAGGGCACATATATGTACCTGTGTGTAGGTGTATGAGCATGTGGGCATGAGCCTGTGGGCATGCATGTGCATGCATGAGCCTGTGTGTAAGTGTGTGCATGCACCTGGGTGAGAGTATGTGCACACACCTGAGTGCATATATGTATGTGCAGCTGTATGTGCCTTTGTGCCTGTATGTGTGCATGTGTGCATGCCTGTTTGTGTGTGCTGCACAGCCCCCATTTTAAAGGTGAGAAGACAGGGCCCAGAGAAGTGAAATGACTTGCCTGAGTTCCCACTGTGAGACCCTGGCTTCACACCAGGACTTCTGACTCAGGGTCCAGCTGGGAGCGGGAGCGTGGGAGTGAGGGTGAGGGACAGGCTCAGGGGCTCTTGGAGGTGACATCAGGGTGGACCGACTTTCCAAAGGGCTGTTTGCTGAGTAATTTAGCCAGGTTGGGCCAAATGAGCGGGCCCACAGCCAGGAGTGCTCTTTCCAGCCTTTAGGAGACACAGCTGGTGAACTAGCCCTTTCTCTGGGCCCAGCTCTCAGGAGCCAGACTCTGCAATGGGGACACTCCCAGATGCTAAACACAAAGGGTGCTTGTCTCTGAAGGAGGACCCGCTGCTGGTCTGTTTCTCCCTGAAATACTACCAGTTCTAACTCATCTGCAGGGCTCTCAGCTTAGCTGGCCAGCACCTCATCCCGGGGCCTGGACTGTCTCTTTCTTCTCTCTTGGCCTCCGTTTTCCCGAATATGTTATGGGGATGATAACACTGCCCCTGTCCACTGCATTGGGCTGTTAGAATCTAGTGAGGTGAGGGATATTGCAAACTCTGAGGGGCTGTACACAGATGCAAGTGGGTATTACGGCACCCACCCTGGATACTTAGAGTGCTGAGGAGAGCAACTGGAAATGGAACCAGGGGCACCTCTTGTCTGGGTCTCAGAAGCTCTCTGAGAGCCCAGGGGAACCACCTGGGAGGCAGTCCTAGCAACTCTCATGTGCAAGGTCGTGCGACCCGTACACAGGCCCTGACTGGGGAGGACACTCAAGCTGCATCTTGAAGAATGTTTATGTCTGGCTAATGAGGCCTGTGGAATGGTTTCCTTGGTGGGAGTGGCCGCCTGTGCGAGGGCCTGGCAGCTGGGAAGTGCAGAGCATGGCTGAGGAATGGGCTGTGGTCTGGGGAAGGCAGAGACGACCCTGTCTGTGTGTGTGGCTGGTGAAGGAGAGTCAAATCTGGGTAGGATGATTGGGACCAGAGGACCCAAGACTTGGGCCGCCAGAGGAGGGGTTTGGACTTTGCCATCACGCAATCAGTGGGGAGCGTGGAAGGTGTTGGAGTCTGGAGAAGCGGAGTGTGTGAGTGGGGGTGGAGGGAGACAGGGCTTAGAGTAGCGTGTGGGAGACATCCGTGGAATTGTTTTTGTTTCAGGGACAGAAAGGGGACCCGGGGCTCTCACCAGGAAAGGCCCACGATGGGACAAAGGTAGGTTTCCAGGGCCCCCGAGCTCAGGGCAGGGGGAGTGAGCAGCAGGGAAACCGCCGGGCCCTGGGGGAGCCCTCCTGCTGCCTGACAGTCTGGAAAGGTCGGCGCTGGTTTGGTTTTCACCTTGAAGTCCTTCCGCCTTTCCCCACACCAAGCCCAACGCCATTTCCTACTGTCTTCTGGGGTTGCAGCCAATAACACCCATAGAAGGTTTCCCCAGGACGTTCTTGGGGAATGTCCTTTTGCCGAACACGCGGCATGGCTTTCTGTAGGGCCTTCTAGGTGACCCTTGGCATCCAGAAGCTTCTTGGTCGCACATGCCCAGGAAGCATCCAAAAGACATTCAAAGTCCCCTCCGAGGTTAATGGACAGGTGTGTGAACGTCTAGGAGGTGGGAAGGGAATGGGCCAGGGGAGGGCGATGAGACCAGAGGTTTCCCCGTGGAAGAGAAAGCACAAGCATTCTTCCTGAGGCGTCACCCTGTCCACTAACCAAGGGACCTGGAGGGAGTGCAGGACCCTTGGGAACAGGGGACCCCATACTCCAGGTAAGGCCCCCAGCGTCTCAGAGCTCCAAATCCTGGAGGGAACACCCCAGTCTGTCTGCCTTCCTCTGGACTCAGCCTAGGAGCCCTCCTGACAGGCAGAACACTGCTTCCCACTGCGGCCTCCTGTGCTGGGGCACATACAAGTGGCAGCCCCCTTCGGTTTCCCCGAGTCACAGGAGGCTCAGCCCTTCACATCCTCACTGATGCTCTTTTTCATCCATTACCCTGGGTGTAAATGTTCACATGCACTCCCATCTGCTCCTCATTGTAACCGTGTAAACCAGGGCAGATGGGCCCACCACCATGCCCGGCAAGGATGAGGAATGCAGAGAGAGAGAGAGAGAGAGAGAGAGAGAGAGAGAGAGAGAGAGAGAGAACGCGCTGATTGGATTGAGGCAGATGAATTACATGCACCCTGGGACAGTGGTTCTCAAATATTTAGCATAGGACCTATTTCCCAAATGGTATTCTATACCAAAGTCCAATATAGAAAATATAGGGTTTCCCCCCAAAATGTATGCACACACTTTGAATAATGATAAAGGCAGCGCTTATTAAGATACATTTTATTTTCAAAATTGAGCTCTCAGCTGTTAAAGTATGTCTACACTTTGGGGGACACCCTGTAGATCGAATGGAGTGACTAGGTTATGTGGAGAGGGGCTGGACACCCTGCCCACTGGGCTGCCCTCACTCCGCTCAGAGGCCCCAGTCTCTCCGGAGGCCTCCAGGCCTCCTTGAGTTCAGTTCATGAACAGCTGGCCATGAGCGCTCACACTTCGATTTGACACGCGTCTCTGGTCCCATCCCCCCAGCTCACCCCTTGTCTCTGTCTTGCAGGGCGACATGGGCTTGCCCGGGCTCCCTGGGGATCCAGGACCGCTTGGACGAAAGGTACACCTCGGTTTCGATGCTTTGCCTTGCTCAGTGGGCTTCCTAGCAAGCAGGGTCATCTGGCAGGAGCTGGGAACCACCTACCCCCAAACTCCACCCCCTGCCTCTCTTAGCCCCAGCCCAGCTCCCTGGGCACAGGGAACATTGGCGGGAGGGGAGAGAGGTTTGCCAGGGTCTGTGCTTGCCTGGGCGGGCAGCACCTTGGCTTGGAGTAGGCCTCCCCTAACCATGGTTAATGAGGCGTGACAGGAAGTGGCCCTGGTTCGCTGTCCTTCCTCTAAGGGTGCAGCTACTCCTGGGAGGCCTTTCTGAGGAATACACGGGCGGGAGGTGCGAGGAATATTGCCAGAGCCGGGAGGACCTGCATTGGCCCAGGGCTCCACCTCCAACCTGCTGAGTGGCCTTGGGCCTGCGTATTACCTCCCTGAGTCCCAGCCTCCTCCCACCTGGATGGTGGCAATAGCCCGCCTCCCTTGACCCCCTATTGCCTGGGGCTGTCAGCCTGCAGCAGAGAGATTGGGAGAGTGGACTCTGGGGTCCGCCTCCCTTGACTCCCTATTGCCCGGGGCTGTCAGCCTGCAGCAGAGAAATTGGGAGAGTGAACTCTGGGGTCCCTCGGACCTGGGATCTATTGCTGCTATGCCGTCTCCCAGCTGTGTGACCTTGGGCAAGTCTAGAACTTCCCTGAGTCTAACCTTCGTCCCTCCCTGGTACGCTGCAGGGGAGGCAAATGCTCTGTGAAGGCAATAGGTGCTCTGTACCTTCTGAGCTGTTGTCATGCTGCTCCCGACCTTGTCCCTGCTTCAGCCAAGTGGGGGGAGTTACGTCTCTAAACGCCCTCGCAGGAAAGTCTACCGTTTTCCTAGACGGTGGGTCCCTGGCTTCCAGTGTCCCTGGATTTCTCCCCAGTTTCCCAGCCAGGGTCCCCCATCCTTCAGACTCAACTCTAGCTGTGCCCACTCCAGGAAGGCCCCCTGGGGCCCCAGCCTTCAGGCCAGGAGCCTCCACTCTGCTCAAGGACCCCTGACCCATCTTAGCTTAGTTATTTTTACCCCGAGTCCAGCCTTATCAACCGGGTCATGCAAGTCTTGTTTTGTCGCCTTCCCTACTGAGCCTAGCATGGGACTGCACATAGTAGGTGTCCAGGAAACAGGAGAGGACAATGCAGGCCAAGGGTCAACTGCTTCTTTGCAGGGAAATCCCCCCCCCGCCCCCCGTGCTGATGGGTTTTCCGGTAGAGACATCGGCATAGGTCTCCATGTCTTAAGCTTCTACCCTGGCTCCCAGCTGTGGCCACAGCTGTCATCTCTCTGGGCCATCTGGGTCTCATCTGGACAGCTGTGGTGCCTCCTGGCTCCTTCCTGGCCTTGCTCCAAGGGTCCCCATGGCACAGGGGACTTGGAGCCTCATGTCCCCCTCAACCATTTCTCCAGACCGGAGCCTGTGGCTGGCTGTGAGCTGGGGAAACATGGAATTTTCTGGCTCCGAGAACACAGGGGGACTCCCTCTCCCCACTCACTTCCCCTCGGGCTCCAGCGCTTTCTGATGGATGAGGTGTGAGTGGAAAGTCTCCTTCCAGTCCTGGCTCATAAAGCAGCCAGTGGTGGTCTCGCTCTGCGTGGCGGTGGGAGTCCAGCAGAGGTGGCAGGAGATGGGAAAGCAGACGGCCCGGCTCCTGCCTGGGTTCCGGGGCTCCCTGCTCTCGGCAGATGTCCAGGGAGGCCAAGAGCCCCCAACCAAGATGGACCAGCTCACCTGAGGAGGGAGGGGTGTCTTTTGTAAATTAAGGAAGAGCTTCCATGTGGTGAAAAAACTATTTGGCAAAGCCATTTGCACCCCTGGGCCAGCCCAGGCAAACACAGAGGAGTTTGGTCTGTGGCAGCCCTGTGTCACCTGCTCACGGAGGGTGGTCGGCAGAGAATGGGGAGCTCAGGTCCCCGGGGTGGGGAAGGAGGACAGACAGGGTGGGTCACTGCCTGGGATCCTCACTGTTTGTAGGTAGTTTCTCCTCCACAAGAATCTTTGGTGACAAATGTGGCCACTTTGCCTGGTCCTGTTGGGGGCTTTTCTGCCTCATCTCGTGGGAGCCTCGGGAGAAAGCAGACGTCCGGAGGCAAAGGGGGAGGTCAGCATCCTCTTTGCTCATCAGCATGTGGAATCTCGGTGTCAACTCAGAGTGACACCAAGAATCCTCTTCATTCTTTGATTTGACAGAATTGATTGAATGCTGGGCACTGAGCTGGATAAATAGACAAAATTCTTGTCCCCCAGAGCTTTTACTCTTGTGGGGAAAGGCAGACAATACAAAGAAAAACAGTGAAAATATAAGGTTTATTAGAAGATGAAAAGGCCTACGAGACGAAACAGGCAGAGAGAGGAGCTTGCGTTGGGAGGGCTCCCATATTAAATAGTCTGGCAAAGTGGAGGTGGCATGAAGAATTACTGCTCCTCATCACATCGTTCCCTCACAATAGCCTCCAGGAGGTAAAGCAGTATCATGCCTCTTTAGAGCTGAGAAAGCCAAGGTCCGACTCATTCATTCATTCATATGCATTCATTCATTCCTTTGCTCATTCATTCATTCCACCAGTCATTCACTCCCCCAGTCATTCATTCAGCAAACGTGTACCCGTATACCAGGCCATGTGCCAGCAATGGTGTTGAATGCATTGAGATCATCGAGAGGCCTCGAGGAGGGTGAGGTCTGCAGCAGTGGTTCCCGGCCCCACCCTGCATTACAACCCCTGGGGAGCTCGCCCACCGCAGGGATCCTGGGTCTCTTGGTCCGAGTGGGACCCTGACACAAGCTTCTCAGGAGCAGCCAAGACAGAGTCAATGGTTTAATGGAAATACCCCTCAGCGTCACTAAGCGGCAGAGCTGGGATTTGAACCTCGGTCTCTGACCCTCAGGCCCTGCCTCCCTCCCCTATGCTGAATGAAACCACTTCTCAGATAAGAGTGGGTCCATCAGGTAGAAAAGAGGCTCCCTGCCTGAGGCGAGTTTCTCTGCATCCGCCTGCGATGCTTGCTGAGGAGCTTGGCTGAGCCAATTCCCGAGAGCTGGGCAGGTGCATGGACCATGGCAGACACCTGGATGGAAGCCAGCTCTGTCCCTTTCCTGCGGGTGAGCTTGGGCACATGGCCTTGGTTGCTCCATAGGCTGATTGGGAGGGTTCAGTGAGATGTTACATCCCCAGGACCTAACACAGGGTTGGCACTTGGGAGGCACGTGGCCGCACCTCACTGAGCCTTGGTTGCTCCATAGGCTGGTTGGGAGGGTTCAGTGAGATGTTACACCCCCAGGACCTAACACAGGGTTGGCACTTGGGAGGCACTGCATACCTATTTGTTAAATGAGTGAATGAATGATCATGATGATCTTGAAGGGGAAGCGCTGAAGGTCACCAGAACACCACCTGCACCCTGGGAGGGCGAGTCCCATGCTGTCCCTAGTCTGACCCTCCTCCCTTCTCTTCTGTAGACAGGTACTTCTCAACCAGGGGCGATTTTGCACCCCAGGGAACAGTTAGCAATGTCTGGAGACATTTTTGGTCATCACAACTGGGAGGGGGTTGCTACTAGCTTTTCTAACGAGTAGAAGCCAGAGATGCTGTTAAAAGTTCTACAGAGCACAGGCCTGCTGTCCCACCCCTGCGCTGATCCAGCCTGCAAGGCAGGGGTGCTGGGGCTGAGCACCTGCTGAGAAGTCCTCACTCCAGCCAACCCTGCATGCCCTCTGGTACTCCTTCCTCCGGCGCCCTCCTGCAGCCCTCACCCTGCCGTGAGCCCTCCCTCTGCCACCTTAGTTGACCACCGTCTGTGAGAAGCTGTAATAAAAGGGAGGGCAGAGGGGGCCATCTGGGAATGCTTTGGGGGAGTGTGATTGACGCTGCCAAAGGCGGCCTCCTGCCTTTCTGCAGACCTACCGCTCTCCCTGCACGTAGCACCCCCAGTTCCACACAGAGCCCCTACCTCAGTGGTTCTCAACCTTCTGGCCCTTTAAATACAGTTCCTCATGTTGTGACCCAACCATAAAATTATTTTCGTTGCTACTTCATAACTGTAATGTTGCTACTGTTATGAATCGTAATGTAAATATCTGATATGCAGGATGGTCTTAGGTGACCCCTGTGAAAGTGTCATTCGACCGCCTAAGGGGTCGCGACCCACAGGTTGAGAACCACTGCCCTACCGAGACCTTTCTCGAGGCCCCCCTGCTGTGGGGCTGCCTTGGGCCTCGGGCCCACGCCCACTGCCATTTCTGAGGTCCAGTTCCCTCTGCTCTCCAACCCGCTCTTCCTTCAAACTCCGTGTACAATGCCGCCTGCTGCTGTTGGGCTGTCTACCCTCTCCGAGCCTCAGAGAGTGTATTAATATGTATTTAATACTCAAAACCTCTTCGAGGAGTTGTGGAGTGAGTTTGTTTGGTTCACCAGTGTATTCTCAGTGCCTGGCACGGCTGACTGAATGGGCCATCCAGAAACTGGGCCTGCCCTGACGTCGCAAGTGCCCACTGAGCAGTGTGGCGTCGGAGGCCTGGCTGTGCCGTGGTGGGCTGTGCTTTTGGAAAAGCCCCACACTCAGCATCCTGTCGTTTCTGAGCCAACAGGATGCTCTGAGAGAGCCGCTGGGGAAACGGAGGTCTGGGAGGGGCAGGGACTTGCCCAGCATCATGCCATGGGTTCCCCTACCTCTTGGCATGTTGGTTCCTTGCTGATTCTTTCTGTCAAGTGTCCTGTCGATTGCCCCCGCGTGGCAGGTGGGCTGCGAGGTGGTAGGGAAATGCTCAGCTGGTCACATGTGGTGAGTCCCACTTCGCTGCAGGAGAAGCCAGGACCTGCAGGCTGAGGTGGAGCCTGGGTGAACACGTTGGTCCCCAGGACCCCTGGGCAAGGACAGGACCCCCTCCTCTCCCTGCCCAAAGCCCAAATAGCATCCCAGCCGGCAGGGAGACTGTCTGCAGCAACAGTGAGGTGATGTCTGGTTTCTCCTTGTGCATTGTAAGCAATGATTAATCTGGCTCCCAAATCAAAATATAGACCGCGCTGTATTATAAACACGGGTCCTGTGGAGACCCGCCTGCCGGGCAGCTGGAGGCCCTGCAGGCTCCAGGGTCCCCGGAGCATCCTGGGGCATCTGCTCTCCCCTTCTGCCAGTCGGGCACCGCTCACACATGGGGAAATCACTGCCCGTGGGTCCACCTTGCGGTCAGCGCCTGCCCCATAATTGCTGGGCCCTGGAGAAGGTAATGGTTTAGATGGTTGCAGGTCCCGGGGCCCTGTCATTTGAAGCTATTTAGCTGGCCCAGCTTGGTAAACACGGTCAAGGTACTTTCAGGGAGCATACAGCCTCCCACCCACTCCACCCCCATGCACGGCAGTGCTCTGTCCGCTGCTCCCATCCAGCCAGGAGAAATGGATATTCATGGCAATGTTCAGGGCCCTTCAGGATCCATTGTTTGGGACAGATCTAGGAATCGTGGCCTCTGAACAAAGCCCAGCCCAGCCGGTCCAGAGCCTGGGGGACAGTCCAGGCTTGGTGTAACTTGCTAATTGATCTTGGGCAAGTCCCTTCCCCTCTCTGGGCCAGTTTCTCAGCCTGCCCAGTGAGAAAGGAGGTTGTGAAATTGATGGCTTCGTCCCTTCCAACTCAGATACTCCAGGGTTCTGTGACTTTCCCCTGGCCCAGCAGTGCTGCAATGATCTGTCCTGGGAGCTGGGTGTCACAAGGGGTCTTTCCGGGGTGGCCCCGTGGACCTCCGGCCTCAGTAAGTGTGTACGTTACAGTCACAGGCTAGCACTTCCCTTGGGAAGCTGTGTGGCCCCAGGAAAATCACTTTGCCTCTCTGAGCCTCACTGTTCTCATCTGGCAAGTGTGCACAGTAATTTCTACCTCCCAGGCATGATGTCAAGGAGTTGGTGAGCTGATGCATTTAAGGCGTTAGTGCCGAGCCAGGCCTAGGGCAGGCCACGGTCCACGTCCCTGATGATCATTCGTTTCCTTTTAGCTGTGTCACGAGTGAAGGGTTTACTTGAAATCTCCTCCTGGGATTATGCTGGCTACGCTTCTCTGATAAAGCATTGGTTTCCAGAGGTTCCTTTTGGCTTCGGAGGGAGCACCTTTCATGCTTCTCTTGGATTCTTTGCCCCGTTATTGCATTGGGTCTTTGCAGCAACACCCTCAGGGTAGGCAGAGGGTGACAGAGTGAGGCTCAGAGAGGGCAGTCGCCTGTGCCAAGTCACACAGCCTAGAGCTTGAGGCTCCATGCAAAAGTTTTGCTTTTTCTTTCTTCTCTGCAAGCTCCAAATGGAGAAGGATAATAATGGTGATTATATGGAACCCTCCGTGGTTTCTCATCATATTACCCCTCCCCCCACCCCGCCACACACACATACACATGCTCTGGCTTCTGCTTCTCTGACCACTCCTACCCCTACCTCTCACCCCTTACTCATTCTGCTCCAGTCACGTGGAGCAGACCTCATTCTTCCTCAAAGCCACCTGCGAGTGTTCTTGCCTCAGGGCTTCTGCACTGGCTGTTCCCTCTGCCTGAAACGCCTTTCCTCTGAGAGCCAGACCCACGTCCAGCTCTCTCAGCTCATTCATCTCCTCAGAGCAGCCTTCCCTGCCTGCCCACCTGCAGCCATGCCCTCCCCACATGCTACCCTCTGTCCTCTAACTCTGCTCATTTTTCTTCAAGGCACTGGTCACTACACCCATTATCTCTTTTTAAAGTTTTATTCTGAATTTTGGTTTTAAAAAACATAAAATTTAGCATCTTAACCATATTTGAGGTTATAATTGTGTTAAATATATTCACATGGTTGTGCAACGGTCACCAGAACGCTTGCAAACCTGAAACTCTGCCCCCATGAAAACTACTCCCCACTTCCCCCTCCCCCAGACATTATCCTTTCTATTTACTTCTTTTATATCTCCTTAATTGCACTGTAAACCCCATTAAGGCAAAGGATGTTGTATTCTCATGCACCCCACACGTAGAATGGTGCTGGCGCATAAAACTTCAGATAGTGTTTGTTGAATGAATGAATGAGACAGGAAGATCATGTTGATAACACCAGCCAGTCTTTACAGGGCCCTGGAATTAATGCCAGATACTGTGCTTAGTGCTTTACACACATTGTTCACGCAACCCAGGAGCCACCCGTTGTAGCCCAGTTTACAAAAGTGGAAACCAAGACCCAGAGAGGTGACATCAGTGGTCCCAAGTCACACAGCCAGCCTGCAGTGAAGCAGGAGCGGAAGCCCAGCAGTCTAAACCCAGGGGTCTTAGCCGGGCTGCATGCCTGCTGCGAGCTGTGGCCTGTGCCTCAGTTGCCCTCTGGGGGAAAGCACGCACACCCATGTGGAAGACTCAGCCAGCCGTGTTGTCTCCGCCTCACGGGCCCCGGGTTGAGATGCAATCATGTCACTGAGCAGTCTGAGGCATGAGTAGGTGCAGGAGGAATGCTTGTAAACTCCCCAAGCCTCCTGGGTCAGACCGACTCTGCTGTTTATAATTAAGAGTCCCACTTCCTGGGGGGTTGCGGGGGTGCTGAGTTATATGTTTGTGTGTGTGTGTGTGTGTGTGTGTGTGTGTGTGTGTGTGTATGCCCTGTATGTGCCCGGATGTCTGCAAGGTTCTCTGTGTGGCTTCTGGTGTCGGAAGGACACAGTGGTGAGTGTGAACCTGCTGGTCCTTAGCAATGAAACTCAGGGTGAGTGGCTTCCGTTCTCTGAGACTCCGTTTTTTTCATCTGTAACATGGAGGTGATAATCTCCACCTACAGCTGCTATAAGGGCTAGAGGAGGGCTAGAGGAGGTCAGGTGCTATCCTGGGTAAACAGCCATGCATGAAGGGGTCTGCAGGCGTCGTGTGTGTGTGTGTGTGTGTGTGTGTGTGTGTGTGTGTGTGTGTACTCTACAGTCTTGTGTAGAACCCTCTGGGGGAGCCCAACACCTCCAGATCTCAAATGCCAGAGCAGAAGGGGCCTCAGTTCAAACCCCCTCATGTGAGGTCCAGAGAAAGAAGGCAGTAACCCACCCAGAGCTGCCCAGTAAGTGAGGCACTGTGTGAGCCAAGCCCAGGGCTCCCTGTGTGAGGGGCTCTGATCGGAGCTCAGGGCAACCGCCCTGTCTGCTCTGGAAGCCCCCTGGTCCCAGTTCACAGCAGCCCTGAGCCGATGGAAGCAGGACATCTGGGTCTCTTTGCAGAGCTCCCAACTCCTACGAAATGACCCAGGGGTCACCCCCAGTGCCGCCTGAAAGCACACGCTCATTTTGATTCTCTTGACCCTGAGACCTGGCCTTGAACCCTGGTAGTTGGACCCTGGGGACAGAGGGTCAAGGTTGGTGCCGGGATGTTGCTAGACTCCTCCATCAGGCGTGTGGGCGCCCTGTGTCCCCTTGGAATAGTTGCTGGAACCAACGAGAAGAAGGCAGGCGGCTCCTTTGGTGAATATACTTGGTCAATGTGTGTGAGATCTTTTCCCGCTCATGAGAAGGGGCAGGTCCTGACAGAAGGTTCCAGCATCACGGGGTGGTTTGGCATATCCCAGACCTGAAGGTCCTCATCAGCCCGCCCACCCATTGAGAAACCCCTCTACCCTGGCAACTGAGGGTCTCACCCTCTCTGGATTTGGAAAGAATGAACTGACACGCTGTCAGTTCAGCTCACAAACCTGCCCAAGGAGTGAACAGTCCCTCGATGCTTCTGGTTGAAGTACTGTTAGTAGCAGAGACGAAAACATGGGCACCTGCTAACCCTGATGGACATGGTCCCTTCGGCAAGTGTTTATTGAGCACGTACTACATCCCTGCCGTGGTGCATGTGGTGCTGAAAGGGCAGGCAGGGAGGCCGGGCTGCTGCCATCCACAGGCCCAGATGTGCCTCCCGGCCTGATGTGGCTTCTTCCCCCACAGGGATACAAGGGCTACCCTGGACCTGCTGGGCACCCCGGAGAACAGGTGAGGACCACGGCCTCAGCCCCACCCTGCCGGCTCCTGCGCTCCGGCCCCTGCCTGTCTCTGGCCTCCTCCCCGGGCCCTGCCTCATGAACGTGAACGAGCCCTAGAGCCAGGCGGTTGAGCCTCCCAACCTCCTGGGGCCCCCACCCCACCTCTCCCCCAGCCACATCTGCCTGCGAGACCTGGAGTCCACGCCAGCCCGGCGCTGGCACGAGCTGCTCCGCTCGGTTAGAGCCATGAATAGCTGGCCTGTTCCGGGCGATGTTAGGGGATATTATCCGCACCACCATGGGGTTTGCAGGAATTTTGGCTGCCCGGGCCCAAATCAAACAGCAGTGGCTGCCAGCGTGGGGGCCAGCCAGGCCTCCTCAGTGCTGTCTTAGGCCTGGGCGGCCGGCACAGGGGGTTTTGTCCCTCCAAGCTGGTCTGACCGGTTTTGCAGAGGGGTGGGCTTGGGGGCCCGGCAGCCGGCCTCCGGTGGCTTCCCCTTCCTCCCATTTCATCTCGCATTCCCGCCCTCCTCTTTGTCCATTGTGAACCCCAGTCCCCCACTGCCCCTCAGACCTGGAGCCCGGCAGGGTCTCTCCTTTCCTCACGCTTCTCTCCGTTCCTTTGCAGGGGCGGCCGGGACCCGAGGGCAGCCCAGGGGCCAAAGGTTACCCTGGCAGGCAGGTGCAGTATATGGCTTCTGGAAGCTCTGTGGCCATGGTGGTGTGCAGATGGCCATGGGCCCCCAGGCAGAGGGAGGTGGTGGGCTGGGGGCCGAGAAGTTGCACCTGCTGGGTAGGCCCTGAGAGCAGGGATGCTCAGTAAGAGAACGGAAGAGACGAGTTCTGGTGCAGTGGGGGTGGGGCTCCACCCAGTCTCCCCTTGAGCCACTTCCTTGGGGTCCTGAGGTGGCTGGGGCTCAGTCTGAAGGCCACAAATCTAACCCGTTCCCATTCTACAGAGAGAGCAGCTGAGGCCTGGGTTGTTGGCAGCAAGTAGACTGTCTCCATATGTCCTTGCCCCTCTGTCTTTTATGTTTCAGGGGTTACCTGGACCTGTAGGAGACCCTGGTCCCAAAGGCAGCCGGGTAAGTGGGCCCTGGCAAGTGCCATACAGGTGGCCCTGGGTGGGCATTACCTGTCCCTCCGGTGGGTCTGAGAGAGAGCAGGGCTGGGAGGCCTCCACCCAGTGTCTGTCGGGCTGCAACCTCCCGCCTGAGTGCTCTCTGGAGAGCAGAGGGACAGCGGGACGGCCTGGTGATGGGAGACTCTTGAGTCAAGCCTGAGCCATGGCCGGGCAGCCTGGGCAGGGGAGAGTAGCTGGGGGCTCGGCCACGGTCCAGCTGCTACAATCCCCAGCATGTCCCACGTGATGGGAACGAAGCCAGGCCACGTTGCCTGCGGTTGGAGGCCTCAGAGGCCTCTCTCCTGCTCCTGACTGAGGGCGAGGGGACCGCCCTTTTGGGAGCCAGTGGTGTTGGATGGGTGAATGCTGCCCAGGCCCTGAGGCTGATAAAGTATCTATTGTCCTCTTCAAGGAGGAGCAAACCCTGCATGGCCAGCAGTCTCAGTTTACCCATCTTTACAATGGGGTGATGTCCATTCTGCCTCTTGCATGGTTATGGAGATACCAGGAATTTGGAAGCAAGTAGTGTTTAGGGGGAGCCAGCAGGTGTCAGCTTCCGGGTGAGCTGTGGCGGTAGAGAAGGTTCTGGGGGAACTGAATGGAAGTAAATGGAGTTTGGGAGGCTGAGAGATGAACTGGTGGAACCTTCTCTGTACCTCCAAGGAAACTGGGTTCACGGTAGAGACCCCATGGCCCTCATTTGCACTGCACAGTGAAGGTGGAGCTAAGATGAGGACCCAGAGGTCCACAGGGCTGGGCTCGCAGCCTCTCAGAGAACGCTCAGCACGTGGGCCACACAGTTCAAGGCCAGGCTAGGTTGGTGTGAGGTGTCTTCCTCTCCTGAACCAAAGCTACTTATGGCCACAGTCTCGGCCCTAATCCCAGAGGGTCCCTCTGCACCCAGGGAGGTCTTCTCAGTTCTGCCACAGGGTCCCTAATCTGCCAGGAGGTCAGGAGGAAAGAGACAGGCATCTGGGCTGCTTGGTGTTTGCCCTGAGAGAGGCATCTTGGGGCCACATAGAGAGAGAGAGCTGGTCTGGTCCCAGCTCACCCCTGTCCAGGGTCACAAGGCCCTGAGCAGCCTGGGTGAGCCGGGCCATTCCAGCTGCCCTCCCAACCCTGCCATCACTGGCCTCATATGTATGAAGTAGGCAGAGGGCAAGCTTTGGGGTCAGGGCACCTTCGAGGCCTGGGAGGAGGCACCACAGAAGCCACAGGTGCCCAGCAGGGTCCCTGGGGGTGGGGAGGACCTGGTGCCACTCTAGCATCTAACCCAGCTGAGAGCTTCCTTCCTGCAGGTCCTGGAGCCCCGGCTCGGGGCGGGCCTCCCCCCGAGAGCGCCCGCGCCCTTCCCTGGCGTGAGGGTATGTGCCTTTGGACTACATCGTGGAAGCCAGCACCATGCAGTCCATGGGCATATACACTTGCCTCAAGGCCTATGTCGTCGAGGAGCCGCCGGAGCCACCACTGCCGCCAGCCTGGAAGAAGAGTCGGGCGTGGGAGGGCAGCAAGGGGGCTGGGATGGGTCGGGCCAGCCACACCCCACCACTCGGCCCTCTGACCCTGCACCTGCTCTTTCCTAGGGCTACATTGGACTCCCAGGGCTCTTCGGCCTGCCAGGGTCCGATGGAGAGCGTGTGAGTATGCTTTCTCTGTTTACCTCCTACCCACCCCACCCACCCCCTCTGCCAGGTGCCAGCCTGGAGCCGTCGTGGAATCCCTTCTAGACAGGTGCCCTCGACTTACATGGGAGGCCACTAAGGGGACCAGGCAAGGCAGGTGCCTTCCAGACATAGGGAACAGAGTGTGCAGAGTCAGGGGCGTATGATAACTTGGCAAGTTTAACAGTCATGCCAGTCCAAGCGCTGAGTGCGAGGTGGGAAGGTGGGGCCGTGGGGAGTCGAGGCTGGAGGGAGCGCCTGGGCCACGTTATACGTCACTCAGAGGCCAAGGTCAGGAAAGGGCCTCTGCTCTGAGAGCACTGGAAGCTTCCGCAGGGCTTGCAGCAAATGAGAAATCTGCCCGTTTTGTATTTCAGACCAAGTGTCTGCAAACTCCGGCCTGGACTCGGCCATGCTCATTTGTTTAGGCAGCACCTGTGGTTGCTCTGCTCTTGGCACAGAGATGAGTAATTAGCACAGAGACTGTTCGGCCCACAGGCCTCTGGACCCTCCTCTCCATCCCCTCCCTGCCTGAGCCCATATATGGGAACTCAAATGTAACCTCATCCGCAAGAGAACCTTAGAAATGCAGAAGGAGCACTTAGTGAGCACCAGCTGAATACCAGGAACACCGGGTACTTTGGGGGGCCATCTCCCCAGTTCAGAACCATGCAGACCCCAACTCCAGGAGTGCAAGGGCCATCCATCCTCTGTGCAAAGCTGGTATCTACTGTGGATGTGGTCGGGAAGCTAGGCTCTCAGTGACTTCCTCTTGTGGGTGCTCTGGGGCTGGTGTCCCCTGCTGGCATCCTGTCCTGACCTCTTCCCTGTCTCTTCCTCTACAGGGCCTGCCTGGTGTTCCTGGCAAGAGGGGCAAGATGGGTAGGCCGGTAAAGATTTTCCGTGTCTATTACGCAGACTCTATGGGGGAACTTGACCTCCCACTGGCCACGCTGCCCTGTCCATCCGCGGCCTGGGCATTCTCTGCTTGCTTCTCTGCTCAGCCATCACTCCGCTTTGAGTGTGTGGGCCGGCACGTAGGGCTGTCTGGGCCTCATGTCCTGCTGCCAGAACATGAGTGGCTGCTTCCTGGCTGGGGCTGGGGGCGGGGGTCCTGTGGGCTCTGGGTCCCTCTAGGAGGGAGCCTGTGTGTGTGTGTGTGTGTGTGTGTGTGTGTGTGTGTGTGTGTGCTCTGCCATGCAGTTCTGTGTCTGCGGGGGGGGGCTGGGCGGTCTGCTGCGCTCTGCCATGCAGTTCTGTGTCTGCGGGTGGGGGCTGGGCGGTCTGCTGTCTGGGTCATTAGTGTCCGTGCTCGGGGACCTGCTGGGACTGGGGGATCTTGGCCTGGCCAGGTGTCGGTGCTGCTAACTCAGAGAACACTCAGTCTCTGTGTTGTCTTGGTGTCACCTGTTTCACCCGTGCACACACAGGCCAGAGGGCAGGGGCACGCTGGGCAGGTGGACCACAATGGGGGCTAAGCAGTAATGCCCCATCTGTCAGCTTTGCCTGTGATTCTCCATCGTGGTAGGAAATTGTTTTTCCCCTTGTTTGGGCATCTGTGCGGCAGGAAGAAAAGGCCAAGGCTCCGAGAGATTAAGTAATTTGTCCGAAGTTTCACAATGAGTCAACAGCAGAGCCAGGATTCTAACTCGGTTTGTCTCCGGGGCCTCTGATCTCCATGATGGCCCAGGCCCACTGGTTGGAGATGAAGTTGTAAACGTGGATTCCCTAGGACTTTTGCCTGGAGGGAAGCCATTCATCCCAATGCTTTGCTATTCACAAGGGGAAACCGAGGCTCCGAGAGGCAGAGTGTTGTGTCCAGGGTCCCACTGCTAGGCCGGGGGAGACCCAGGACTGTAACTGAGGCATCTTCCTCCCGGGCCCTGCCCTGTTGCTGGCTTCAGGCTCCCTGCCTGTGCCTTGCAGGGTCAGGCCTAGACTTGGACCCATCATCAGCTCTGGGTCTGTACCTCCCTTTGCTTGTGATTGATGGAGAAGGGATGGTGAGTTAGAACTTGAGAGTCAGCTGGGAGGGAGCCAGGAGCACTCCAGGTGGCCAGAGGGGGCTGTCTGTGATTCTGGGGTTGATGGCATGGTCACAGGCACTGACCTTGCCTATATGGACTTGGGTCCTCTGGGGCCAAGTGGGGAATACAAAGAAAGGCAAGATCCAGGTCCTGGCTATAAGGCGCTAACAGAGGAGCCCCTCACCCTCAGACCTAGCCCCCTCTGTGCCCTGAGGTCTGACACCTAACACCCCGATCTGGGAAAGAAACAGCACCTGTTGCTCCTGGCTTCAGGCCAGGATGTGGAGTCTGCGAGAGCTGGGCTGGCATTTGGATCTGCTCCTCAAGCCAGGTGACGGGGCAAGGAGACTGCTTCATTCATTACTCATTCGTTCATCCATTCATTGGTTCATTCATTCATTCATTTATTCATTCAATGAATTCTGGGTGTGCACTATGGGCCAGGCACTGTGCTTGGTGCTGAGCAGTGGACAAGACAAAGCTCCCATTCTCATGGGCAGACAGACAGACAATGATTGTTTGAGGGAACGGAGAATGCATGATTGACTGTCAGATGGTGTTGAGTATTCAGATAGAGTAGGATGGGGGACAGGGAGTACTTGGGGTATAGGCTGTTGGAGAAATTGGTCTGGGAATTGCTCTGACTCCATCTTGGGAGCCTCCCAGAGGGCCAGGCATTGCCACTAAAGATGAGAAGACCAGTGAATGGCGTGGCCAAGATCGTGTGGCTTCTGGGGCTCAGAGCTGTTAGAATGCAGCAGCCAGTGGCTTCTTCGCCTGCTGCAACCAGGACTGTCAACAGAGCCATGCTTCCGCTGTCCTCTTCCACCCCCTCCCCTGCAGCCTCCCCATCCCTTTCCTACTTCCAGCAGCCCCTTCGTCTGCCTCCTCCTTGAACTTATTTTCTTTTCTTGGAGCTGAAAACCTCCTGCTCACGGCTGGGAAGGCAGCGCCCGGTTTGTGAGTGAGAAGAAGCCTCTCACTCATTTGTCGTGAGTGAGATGAGGCCTCTCACTCATTTCTCATTCAACAAAAATTTATTGAGCACCTACTATGTGCCAGGTAGTAGGATAGCACTGTAGCCAAAACCAACCCCCTCAAAAGCAACATTTATTGAGGCCCCTTTACCTGCATGGGATTTGAACTGCGTGTGATTCTACTGATTCTTTGAGGTGAGACTGATTTTTCAGATGAGGAAACTGAGGCTTCCACAGCCAAAGCCATTGGCCCAGAGTCCTCCAAGGTCTTGAACCCTTATAGCTGTCAGCTCATGCCTGCTTCCTCGCTCCGTGCCAGTGACTTCCTCAGATTCCATGCTCCACGATGGGGTTGTGCCCTGGCGCTGGGGTGTCAGGTGTGGGTGGGAGGAAGCCCCTTCCCTCCAGTCAAACCGCCCTGTGGTCATACCATATGCCTGAGGGCTAGGAAAGCCCTGGAATTCTAGCCCAGCCGCCATGGCTGCCAAACAGGCAGGGGCTGCATTGAATAGGACTTCGTATCACCCAGTCTTTCAGCCTTTGTCTCTGTCTTGCTGAGCCTCCAGTCCCTCCATGCCCTCAGCCCACGGTCTCCTGAGTGGTCTTACGGGCCATCCCCTGTTGCCAGGGCTCCCTAGCCCTTGATCTGGCTGGTGGGGTTGGGGGATTCTTTTGTGAATGGGTTTTCCACTTGCCCAAGCCTTGGGCCAGGCAATTTCTAGGCACATATTAACAAGAGGAAATGTTGAGGGAACGAGCTGAGTTCCCTCATGCCAGATCGCAGCTGGCCTCATTTCTGGCGGGCCTGGTGGTGATCTTGCTGTAGTCCATCTCTCTCCAGCCAGCAAAACCTCAGGCCCACGCATGCGGCCTCCTCGGCATTGGGTTTGGAAGGAGAATGCGAGAGAGTCTTCAAATGGGAGCCGAGAAAGAGACAGTGGAGGTCGGATCCCATCAGAGCTGCAGGACCCTTAGTGATGAACTGGCCCAACCCCTTTGTCAGACAGATAAGCATAGTTTAGAGAGGCCAGGAACTTCCCGAGGTCATACAATAAGGTGGTGACAGAATCAAGACTCGAACCCAGGACTCTTGCTTGCTAGTAAGGATGCTAGTAAGAATCACTTCTCTCTGTGCTCACATCTTCAACCTCCAAAGGAGGACTTAGTCTATAGCTCTCCTCTCCTCCTCACACCACCTGTTAGAAAGAGAAATGCCTTATGGTTTTCTGAGGGGTCCAGATATAAGATGTTACAAACTTGGCTGGAACTATGAGCTCTAGGGGGTTTCTTCTGGACTGTCCTGGCTTGTTGGGGGCCCGGCACAGGGACACTCATGGCTGGGGTCCGAGCCATTCCTCTCAGCCACAGGTCTCTCCCCGGGGCTGGGAAGATGCTACAGTGAATCCTCTAGTCGGACACTGAATGCACCATCAGCGGCTGGAATGCCTGACCCGGCCAGCCGCCGCTCACAGCTCCTCTTGTGGTCTCTGGCCAGGCCTGCCCAGGCGGGTCTTGTGTAGTGAGTCAGGCAGGCAGACCCTAGACCTGAGAGTTGGAAAGGGCCAGCCCTGGCTTCCACTCCCTTGGTGTGTGAGGCTCGGGGACCAGTGGGATTTGCCCAAGGCCACACACCATCCGGGGCGGGCAGGGCTCTAACACGGTGCATTTTGGTTTCAAGCTCAGGGCTCTTTCCAGTTCTCCGTCTGTAGGGAGAAGGGAGTAAAGTGAGAGGGATCTCGTGTTTCCACGTGGGGAAACTGAGGCCAAAGCAGATGAGAGTTTTTAGCTGTGGTCACGCTGTGGGCTGGGGATGTGGTCCCCAGTGTCCCCAACTTGACCTAGAGCTGTCCCAGAGCTACCGGTGGCTCTGGAATCCTGGGAACCCTATCTGCCCACCTCCTTCTTATTCCCTGGGGTCACTTTTGGGGGGCTTCCCTAGTGGACTTCAAAAGGGCCGGGAGAAAGCATGCTCAGCATCGTGAGAAAGAGAGCTGGGGACCTCCGGTCTCTCCATGTGGGCGCACATCTGGAAAAGAACACGGTGCTTTGAGATACAGGTTAGACTTACGCGGGAACTTGCCGACTTCAGAGAATCGCAGCCTTGTAAAGAGGTCTCCAAGATCCTTCTGCAGGCTCTTCCTAGAGATCATTACGTATTCCCACCGTTGATGCAAACCCTAACCAGCATGTGGTGATGGCACATTAGAGTTTGCCAGGGGCTGGATTACAAACATCTGGCCTCTTCTTCAGCCCAGCTCTGCCAGGTGAGTTGGGCAGGGCTGACCATTTTTCAGGCCAGGGAGCTGAGCCTTCGAGACCTTGGCAGGACTGCAGATCTTCAAGCTGCACGCTCCCCCTGCCCTTACAGCCCACCTTCTGGAACAGACCATTTGGGCGGACACTGGGGAAGTAGGGCCTCCTCAGCCCTCAACATCTTGCCATGCATGTGGCCACGAGGACTGTCCCTGTTTTCACGTCTTATCGTCTCGTCCCAGAGCCAGCTTCTGTCTTCTCCTGGGCCTTGTTCTGCTCAAAGTACGAGGCGTTCAGTTCCCCAGGGAGGCCTGACCTGGGGAAGTGGAGAAACCACGTGGCTAAGGCCCCGGCAGGGTGCCAAGCTCATTGCTTGGGCCTCAGGCCAGCCTGCTGCAGCCAGGAGCTCCGGCCTGCGGAGGAAGGTCCCGCTGCTGGCCAGGCTGGGAGTGCACGCCATGCACGAGCGGATGCAGCCAGACAGGGAAGCAGGCCATCGGGGGCCGTAGGGCGAGTGTCAGAAATGGGCTGTGTCGCTCAGTGGTGGAGGGATGAGGCAAGTTAGCGGGGTGCTGGGGCCTTGGGCGTGTGCTGGGCTTTAGTCTCCCCACTGCGGCAATGAAATGCTGAATG